CCCCAAAACCCCAAAACCCCAAAACCCCAAAACCCCAAAACCCCTCAAAAATATAAAATTATTGAAGTATAAACCATGAGTGCAGAGGAACTCAAAATTGAACGCAAGAAATTAGACGAGCAATTCAAGCATCTCTATTCAAGAGAGCAAGACCTTGACGACAGGATTAAAGATTTCGAACTTCAACAAGCCAGAGTGAAGAAATTAAAAGACGAGTTAAATAACAAATAAGAATGAAGTCAGTACCCTAAATTCTGAGCTCAAAATGAAGCAGAAAATGCTTGTTACGATGGACGACAAGATAAAGCAAGTCGAAGGGCCTGCAGAATTGGCAGACCAGATTATCCAGAAGACAAAGGTAACACTTCCGCTAATTTTTCTGAAATTTTCTGATTTCGGTACCTTCCAATATGCTTTTAATTAATACATCTTACAGGAAAATGAGGAGTACCAAAAGAAGGTAGATGAGATGCAAACAGAGCTCAAGAAAAATGAAGAGGAAAAGATACAGCACAAGGAGCAAATCCAAGAGATCCAGCAAAAACTCGAAGTGACAAATTCTGAACAAGCCAAGGCCGAACGGGCCAAGGCTGATGAAGCACTGGCTTCAATGAAGGAAGAGCTGGAGCAAAAGGAGCATATATTAGAACAAAATGCTTCCGAACTACAAGAAAAAGACAAAATAATATCAGACCTCAATACTAAAATAGATGATTTATTCAAAGAATACGAAGAAAAATTCAAAGAAAAAGCAGTACGTGAGCAACAAGAAGCTGAGGAGATCAGACAGGAAGAAGAGAAACTCAACAGCAAGATCTCTGAGCTCAAAGAAAACTTACAGAAAGAGATCAACAGCCGAGAAGAAATTGAGGATAAGCTATCCCAGGCCAACACAGAGATCGGTCGCATGAAAACAACCATGCAAAAATTAGAATCTGATATGCAAATGGAGTCACTTGAATTCAAGAACAAAATGGAGAAGCAACGGAAAGATTTCATTGGAGAATTCGATCAACAGGAAAATAAGATAGAGCAACTTGAGACTGACAAAAGGGAACTCGCAAGGCAGTTATCCATCCTCAAGAAACTTCAGAGTAATGTTGAAGAAGAGAGTAAAAACTTGGAAAACAAACTAAAAACTATCCAGAATCGATATGACTCACGCTTTGAAGAACAAGAGGAGAAGATCCAAAATCTGACTGTAGAAAATACCCAATACAGACACAAAAATGAGTTACTCAAGATAGACATTACAGATCTTGAATTCAGGCTAAAACGGACCAAACAGGCAGAGAAAACTCTTGAAGTATCACCCCAGATCGAGCAGATCCCTTCTAAGATCCTCGAAGAGAGACTCGAAGCAGTAAATGGAGAGTACAACGAACTTCTAAAATCAGTTGATAACTACAGTGCAAAGATAGACCAACTTGGCCAGGAAATCATGCAACTGACCGATGATAAGAAGGATGCATTCAACCTTGTCGAAAAGAAAAGAGAGAAGATCAGACTTGCTGAAAGAAGGATCCAGGATCTTGAGAGACAAATAAATACTAAGAAAAGTAAGGTTTGGCTAGTAAAGATTTAGTGCATTCCGACCTGACCGTTACTAAAGTTAGAAACGAAGCTGAGAAGAAGCTAAAGAAAGCTGTCTCACATAAGGAAGGGGACCTTAGACTGTTCAAGCAGAAGGTCAAGAGTAGCGAGATTCAGATTAAATCGAAGAATAAGGAAATCAAGTATCTCAAGAATAAAATTGAGCGCCTTGAAAGAATTCTTAAAGTTCATAAGTAATGATCAGAAATTAATACACCATTTAGACTTAAGGAAAACATAAGCTCGATGGTAGATAAAACTTCTATAATTGAGAAATGGAGAGAGGAGGAATCCTGCAGACCAAAGGAGAGTACCATGTCTGATTCCAATGAGAAAGAAGTAAGCCAGACCTCCTCCTCTGAAAAGAGGATGAATATTCATGTTAAAGAGCCAGAATATGCTCCTGAAGACCCAGTAAGACTTCCAATGATCAAGAAAAACACAAATTTGAAGGACATATTAAACCATGATATTTACAAAAAGAGTGAGATTAAGACCCTAAGAACCAACAGCAGTGTGCCTGAGATCACTTTTAGAAAGGATGCTTCAATGGAAAAAGAGAAGGAAATTAGCAGAGAGAGTAGTAAATACGCCTCTCTTCACACTCACTCAAGAAGCAACGCATCGATCTTCAAAGAAAGGTACGACAAGAACCTTGAGAACTACCTCAGCTCACTGGACTACAAGCGGTATAATCACAGAAAGAATGCTTCCTCTGTCATGGGAATGCTGATGTCGCCCAGCTTGTCAAATTCCAAAAGGACAGAATTATAATTTTCAACGCCTCCCAAAAATGAGGGGTTTTGGGGTTTTGGGGTTTTGGGGTTTTGGGG